AGTCCTCCCACAGATTTCCTGCCCAGTCTGTCAGTAGGGATGGGAATTGTTAAGAAATTAGCAATTCCGATTCCATTAACAATTCTGCTTATCGATACGATTCCTTATCGATTCCCTTATCGATTCTCATTGAGTGTGAAATAAAATAATACAAATAGTTCTGTTTGCATTAACTCTTTAATATTGTCAGCTTTGGACAAAAATTTGGCATATCCATGCACTAATAATGTAACCTTAGGAAACAAACGTTTAGATTACTTATTTCTCTAATGTAAAGGAGTCTAGAGGCCTCATGCAGCTTTTGTGTACCTTGCAAGATATGAAGGTCCTTAGGAAATACAATCAAAATGATAACATTTGGGAATATTTACAGTGCTTTGCATTCAACTTGACCCAAAACTAATGTGGACATAAAACAAAGAATGCTTCTGTAAAAATTACCATATCAAACAACAACACAACTACAGCTAACATTGGCAGATTAGCAGTTTTTGTGCAGAAAAATTAACATGTTCGCCTTCTCAGGAAGGATACGAGACCGCTCTGGACTTAGGGTGTCTCCAGCTGTGGAGAAAACCCTTTCAGATGGTGTTGAGGATGCTTGGACACAGAGATATTTCTCAGCCAAAGCTGACAACATTGGCAATGTGTCCCTCTTCATCCACCACCAGAGGGTGGCGCTGTCTTTGGTTGGGATGGGAGGAAGGCTTCGGTATAGTTGGACTTCTTGATCCACCCTTTGGGTTATGGAGAGAGGGGTCTTCTGCTGCTGCACGGAAATAAGCTCACTGTCCTCTTCTTCAAAAAGTTCCTCTAGGGCTGTCTTCTTTTGCTGCTTTACAGGTGGGGTCTGAAATGACAAAAATAATCACAAAGCTCAGTTTAATTTTAAACAGAGTAATAATCTATGTCACCTGTCATTCAGCACAATGAGCAAAACTCACATATTCATCTTCTTCCTCATCCTCTTCTTCTGCCTGCCTTGGTGTTGCTCCCCACTCTGTCAGCTGAAAAGAAAATTTACTGTGTAAGAACCACAGAGGAGGAAGAAAAAAACCCACAACAGAAATGTGCTACAACTAAAGACATTTTCAACTTTAAATACCTCCCCTGCTGCAGCTGCCGGTGTGTTAGCTGCCACTGCAGCTGCCCTGACTCGGTCCCAGATTTCATCCATGTCCACTTTGGATTTGAATCTGGGGTCTAACACCGTAGCTTCCTCCAGGAATGCTTGGACAATATCATCCTGAAGTTTAAAATGAAGAAAATATAACACAAATTTAGAGAAATTAAAACTTTAGTTTATGTGACAATTTTGTCATAAAATGATTAATAATGTCAGTCAGTTCACCTGGTAGCGCTTGGAGAGATCATTCCAAATGTTCTCCTTGATGCTCCTGGTGAATGCAGAGTCCTCTGCCTGCACGGTGTAATGCCTGGACAGCTTTTGAAGGATGGGCAGGATCTGGCCACAGGTCGGGTTTTTTTCACTGGAGACCGCAAGTGTGGATGTATAGTGCATCCGCATCAGCAGCACGAACTCCTCTGCTTTCCTCAGGTCCTCATTGCCAATTCTGGCCAGCCTTCAACATAAACAAATGATAAATATATGCCGTACAATTAAAAACAAACACAAACCTTTTAGTAATGGTTTTACTTAGCCAGGTTTTATGCAAGTATTTTTTTTAAAAGACAATAATTACTTGTCCTTCTCCATGGGCTTTCGTAGACGTGGGTCTACAGCAGCAGCTTGGATGGCTGAAAACTGCTCACAAAACCGCTCCATCATCAAAAACAGAGAGTTCCACCTCGTCCTCACATCTAGGAGAAGCATGTGCTGGGGCAGCTCTGAAAGACAGACATGTACACAAACATGAAGAGATTAGTAAAGTAGTATAGTATTCTCATTAATTTATCATTTCAGATTGACATTAATATGTTCATTTATATATTCAAATGTGTATGTTGGCAGCATCTGATTAAAACATTGAAATGTATTCTTACCGAGGAGTTGTTGCTTCTCTTTGAGAACCACTTTAGCCATGTGGGATCTCTTCATCCAAACGATCACAGAACGAATCCTTGCCGCCCAGTTGGAAATAGTGTTGCAGTTGTACAGCTTCTGAGCCCCGAGGTTAAGTGTGTGTGCAAAACATGGAAACTTAATAATGTCCAGCTTTCTAACAGCTACATCCATGTTTGCTGCATTATCGACTGTGGCTGCCACCACCTTCTCTTTCACTCCAAACTCCTCCAGGATCCCCTCAATCTCCTCTGCCACAGCTGTCCCTGTCTGAGACTCGTACACTGCTTTGGTTTTGAGGACCTTTTCTTTATTCTGACCTTCCCTGACATAATGTAAGGTTACAGTGAGGTAATGATCTTGACTAAAACTTGTCCAACCATCAGCTGTGATGGCTGCTTTTGTGACATGCTTCAGGTCAGAGATCAGATTGTTCTTTTCAACCCCATACCAAGCAGGGATCAGGTGGTTTGTTAATGTGTCTCTGTTTGGGGCATGGTATTTTGAGTTGAGAGTCTTTATCATCTCCCTACAAAAACATTTGGGAATAAATTAGAGATAACTATCGAGCCCTGGAGATGAAATGACCTTTTATTTTTTAATTCAAACGTTCAATTTAGTATCTTGAACGTTCAATTTAATATTTTGAACGTTTAATTTAGCCTACTGAACGTTCAATATCCTAAGTTGAACGTTCAAAATAAAAAA